GGAAACATTAAACATTGAAGAAAGAGATGGTTTCCAGATGGTGATCGGGTTCTTATAAGGTGAATAAGCTGCTAATGTCTTCTCTGTGATTATCGATTTCAACCATTTATGGACACTCCTTGAGTGTACTAATTATTTTTACACATTATGTGAGTGAAGCACTAGTGATATGTTTTGCTATTTCTCAAATGTAGAAGGTTACATGAGTTACATAGTTCCAGTCGAAGAGAAATCATCGGACATATCAGTTCTTGCCTAAATATTCATCTATTCAAAAGTGTTGCAAATGACTTCCCACTGCTCTGGAAGTTCATAAAGAAAAGATGGTCCGCTCTAGCAAAAATAGTCGAGCAATTCACATTGGTTAAAACCACGAGTTGCGCAGTTCGCTGCGTTATACTGGAATGCAATATAACTGGAGTCGCGAAACTCAATTCGCTTTTCACCAAACCTTCCATCCCTCCGGGGTCGGCAAATTGGCACCAGACTTGTCTGAAAGGATAGCAACACTGGCTCGATACATCAGTAGGCCACCGCGAGTCATTGTAAAGGCCACCAGATAAGCATTCAATCACCTCTAAACGATGCTTAATGAAGTCAAATGCATGGCGCATTCTTCAGGCATTGATCAACGTCGCGAGCTTTATCCTTTGTTTATGGCAGGAGAGGATGCGACAATCGTTGTTTTACATGTGTTCCATAAGTTTTTCGATTTCAGTTAGTCGGATGAGTATTCCGGGATTAGTGTTTTTCAGCAGTTTGCAGTCTATTCGGCTAATATGATCTCCAAGTCAAAAAAGATGAAGACTTCTTGATTTTTTAGTGTACTTCGAAGTTGAGTCAGTATGGCATTTGTCCATCAGAATGCTAACGTTACCGTATCGACTTCCATTTTTGCGATAGTGTAGATTTCAGAGAAAAGAATTCACTTTTTGCCATAACAAGGTTGGTTCAACTTTATGACCGTAGATAGACGTAGGTGGCAAAAGCTTACGTGCTGGCGTCGGCAAAGGTGATTAGAATGTTGCTCGTACTTTTTATTCCAAAGTAGCTAGGTTGAGTTTTGTGAAACCCTGCGATTCTGTAAATATGCTCGTCCATTTCTCATTAGGACATTCTGTTAGGATATTGTTCCATTGGACTTGTTTTTCCTTGGGTTGCGTAAGAATACCTATGCTTTATGGAGTAGAGGTAATAGGAAACCCATGGGGTTGTATAATCTCGACACAGACATTAGCAGCTTATTCACCTTATAAGAACCCGATCACCATCTGGAAACCATCTCTTTCTTCAATGTTTAATGTTTCC